CTAACTGGTGGTGGGACTGCCAAAGCCCATACCCTAACCCACACCAAGCACACACCCCAGCCCTTCTTGCTCTAACACTGCTCCCCTTTGGGCTGAGGGTGCTGATGCAAGAAGGGGAGAGTGCACACTCTTAGAGGAAATGGAGACAGCTCAAACCTGACAATCAGGGTTTCTGTTCCAGCATCTTGGGAACCAGCACTTCCCCCAATAGGGTGCTACTGGCCACTGAGCATAGGTGAAGCCCTGGTTAACACCTGGCTCTGGCTCATTTCCTTGATCTCTAGCCCCACCACCTACAAAGGTGATAGCTGTTAGCACACTCTGGGAAAGACATGATTTGTGCTCACATCAGATCCAGCTCTTCCACCAAAGTCACTGGGTACACACATACTGTATAGGGTTGCTCCCACAAAAGTACACCCCTTCAAGACTGGAAAAGGTAACTGTTTCACCTAATTTCACAGAGAAAGTTAAGCAAAATGAGAAGACAAGAATTTATTTCAAATGAAAAAAACAAGAGAAAATCCCTGAAAATAAAACAAGTAATGAAACAAATAATTTACAAGATAGAGTTCAAAGTACTAATAACAAGAATACTAAACAAATTAGGAAAAAGAATAGGTGAACACAGAGAGATTTTAACAAGGATCTGGAAAATATGAAAAAAAAAAAGAAAAGTGAGACCAAACAATACAATAATTGAAATTGAAATGAAACACTAAAAGGAATTAAGAGCAGACTAGGTGATACAGAGGAACACATAAGTGACCTGGGAAATAGAATAATGGAAATCACCCTATCAAAACAGTGAAAAGAAAAACATACAAAAAATGAGAACAGTTTGAGAGACCTCTGAAAAAAATCAAGTGTACCAACACTTGCATTAAGAGAGAAAAGGGTAAAAAATATATTTGGTCTATCCACCTCATTACAAATAGCTCAGTTTCGTTTCTTTTCGTGGCTGCATAATATTCCATTGTATAGTGAAGTAAGTCAGAAAGAAAAAGACAAATACCGTATGCTAACACATATATATGGAATTTAAGAAAAAAAAATGTCATGAAGAACCTAGGGGTAAAGCAGGAATAAAGACACAGACCTCCTAGAGAACGGACTTGAGGTTATGGGGAGGGGGAAGGGTGAGCTGTGACAGGGCGAGAGAGAGTCATGGGCATATACACACTAACAAACGTAGTAAGGTAGATAGCTAGTGGGAAGCAGCCGCATGGCACAGGGATATTGGCTCGGTGCTTTGTGACAGCCTGGAGGGGTGGGATAGGGAGGGTGGGACGGAGGGAGACGCAACAGGGAAGACATATGGGAACATATGTTTATGTATGACTGATTCACTTTGTTATAAAGCAGAAACTAACACACCATTGTAAAGCAATTATACTCCAATAAAGATGTTAAAAAATATATATATATATTTGGTAAAATTATGGCTGAAAACTTCCCAAACTTAAAGAAGGAAACAGAATCAAGGTACAGGAAGCACAGAGAGTCCCAAACAAGATGAACCCATAGAGACCCACACCAAGAAATATCATAATTAAAATGTAAAAAATTTAAAGATAAAGAGATAATATTAAAGACAGCAAGAGAACAACAAAGAGTCATATATAGGGAAACCCCAATAAGGCTATAAGCTAATTTTTCTGCAAAAACTTTGCAGGCCAGGAGGGAGTGTCCTGGTATATTCAAATTGCTGAAAGGGAAAACCCAGCACTCCAGGATACTCTACCCAGAAAGATTATCATTTAGAATTGAATGAGAGATTTAAAAAAAAAAAAGCTTCTCAGATGTGCAAACACTAAAATAATTCATCAATACTAAACTTACCCAAAAATAAATGTTAAAGGAACTTCTTTAAGTGAAAAAGAAAAAGCTATAACAGGAATTAAAAATCCATAGGAAAGGAAAAATCCATTAGTAAAGACAGATATATGATAAAGCATGTGAATCAGTCAGTTAAATACTCTAGTATAAAGATTAAAATACAAAATCAATTATAACTACAATAAACTGTGAAGGGATAAACATGAAGTGGTAAAAAATGACATCAAAAACACAAAACATGGTGTGGAGTCAAAAATGTAGATCCTTTAGAATCATCAGACACAAGGGAAGAAACTAAAAGAAGAAAAAAGAACAAAGAACTGCAAAAACAACCAGAGAACAAGTAACAAAATGAAAGTGAGTATATACCTATCAATAATTTAATAATTTAGGGCTTCCCTGGTGGTGCAGTGGTTGAGAGTCCGCCTGCCGATGCAGGGGACGTGGGTTCATGCCCCGGTCCGGGAAGATCCCACATGCCATGGAGCGGCTGGGCCCGTGAGCCATGGCCGCTGAGCCTGCACGTCCGGAGCCTGTGTTCCGCAACGGGAGAGGCCACAGCAGTGAGAGGCCCGTGTACCGCAAAATAAATAAATAAATAAATAATTTAATAATTTAAATGTAAATGGACTAAGTGCTCAAATCAAGACAGAGGGTGGCTGAACAGATAAAAAAACAAGACCCACCTATATGCTGAATATGAGGGAATCAGTTCAGAGCCAGGGACACACACAGAGTGAAAGTGAGAGGATGGAAAATATATTTCCTGCAAATGGAAATGACAAGAAAGCTGGTGTAGCAGACAAAATAGACTTTAAAACAAGGCTATAGGCTTCCCAGTGGTTGAGAGTCTGCCTGCCGATGCAGGGGACGCGGGTTCGTGCCCCGGTCTAGGAGGATCTCATGTGCCGTGGAGTGGCTAGGCCCGTGGGCCATGGCCACTGGACCTGCACGTCCACAGCCTGTGCTCCATGGTGGGAGAGGCCGCAGCAGTGAGAGGCCCGTGTACCACAAAAAAAAAAAAAAAAGAAAAAGAAAAAAAAAAGGTTATAATGAAAGACAAAGAAAGTCATATTATAATGATAAATGGATCAATAAAAGAAGAGGATAAAACACTTTTTAACATATATATCCCTAATGTAGGAGCAACTAAATATATAAAGCAAATATTAACTGACATAAAGGGAGAAATTGGCAATAATACAGTAAGAGCGGGGGCTTTAACATACCTCTCACTTCAATGTACAGTTCACCAGAAAGAAAATCAGTAAGGAAATTGTCCTTAAATGACACATTAAACAAGTTGGATTTTGCAGATCTACAGAGGACTGCATTTCAAATACACTTTCATTCCAAGTACATATGGAACATTCTCCAGGATAAAACACATGCTAGACCACAAAACAAGTCTTAACAAATTTAAAAGGATAGAAATTATGTGAAGCATATTTTCTGAATACAACAGTATGAAAATAGAAATCAATTACAGGAAGAAAAATTGTAAAAACACAAACACATGCTAAAGAACATGTTACTAAAAAACCAATGGGTCAATAAAGAAATCAAATAGTAAATCAGAAAGTACCTCAAGACAAATGAAAATAAAAACACAAATTTCCAAAATCTATGAGAAGAAACAAAAGCAGTTCTAAGAGGGAATTTTATAACAATATGGGCCTACCTCAAGAAATTTTAAAACTCTTAAATAAACAACCTAACTTACCATGTAAAGTAATTAGAAAATGAAGAACAAACCCCAGAGTCAGTAGAAGGAAGGTATTAATTAAGATCAGAGAGAAAATAAATAAAATGATGATCAAAGAAAAGATTCATAAGATCAATAAAACCAAGAGCTGATCTTTTCTGAAAAGATAAACAAAATTTATAAGGCTTTATCCAGGCTCATCAAGAAAAAAATAGAGGAGGCCCAAATAAAAAAATCAGAAATGAAAGAGGAGAAGATACAACTGATATCACAGAGATATCAATACAAAATACCATAAGAGAATACTTCAAACAGTTCTATGCCAAAACATTGGACAAACTAGAAGAAACGGATAAATTTCTAGACATGTACATCTTCCATGACTGAATCAGGATGAAAAAGACAATCTGAACAAATTGATTGCTGGCAGTGAAATTGAATTTATAATTTTAAAAAACTACCATCAAACAAAAGTCCAGGACTAGATGGTTTCACAGGGGAATTCCACAAAACATATGAAGAAGAGTTAATACCTATCCTTCTCAAACTATTCCTAAAAATTGAAGTGGATGGAACACTCCCCAAGTCATTCAACTAGGGCACCATTACCCTGATATCTAAACGAGACAAAGACACTGCAAAAAAAAAAATTACAGGCCAATATCTCTGATGAATGTAGAAATAAACAAAATATTAAGGAACTGAATTCAACAATACATAGAAAGAATCATAATCATGATAGAGTGGGGCTTATTCTAGGGATGTGAGGATGCTTCAACATTCACAAATCAGTCAATGTGGTACACCATAATAACAAAACAAATGATAAAAATCACATGATCATCTCAGATGCAGAAAAAGAATTTGACAAAATTCAATATCCATTGATAATAAAAACTCTTAACAAAGTTGGTATAGAGGGAACATATCTCAACATAATAAAGGTCATTTATAGCAAACCCACAGCTAACATCATACTCAATGGTGAAAAGATGATAGCTTTTCTTTTAAAATCAGGAACAAGACAAGGATGTCCACTCTCACCACTTCTATTTAACATAACATTAGAAGACATAGTCTTGGCAACTGGACAGAAAAATAAATAAAAGGCATCCAAATAGAAAGAGAAGTAAAACTGTCATTGTATGCAGGTGACATGGTACTATATAGAGAAAACCCTGAAGTCTCTATCAAAAAAAATAAATAAATTTAGAACTAAGTGAATTCAGTAAAGTTGCAGGATACAATATTACTATAAAGAAATTTATTGCTTTTCTATACACTAAAAGTGAACTATCAGAAAAAGAAATCAAGAAAACGATCCCTTTTTAAATTACATCAAAAAATTAAAATACCTAGGAATAAATTTAATGAATGAGGTAAAAATAAAAACGTACGCTCTGAGAAGTGTAAGGTAGTTCATGAATTTATGAAGGAAATTTAAGATGATACAAATGAATGTAATGATACCCAGTGTTCATGGATTAGAAGAATTAATATTTTTAAAATGTTCATACCGCCCAAAGCAATCTATAGATTTAATGCAATCACTATCTAAATACCCATGACATTATTCAAAGGACTAGAATAATCCTATAACCAAAGCAATCTTGAAAAAAGGAAAAAAGCTGGAGGTATCAACCACCCTGACTTCAGACTATACTAAAAACTACAGTAAAGAAAACAACATGGTAATGGCACAACAATAGACACAAAGATAAGTGGAACAGAATAGAGAGGCCAGAAATAAACTCACACACTTACAATAAATTAATTTATGACAAAGGAGGTAAGAATATACAATGGAAAAAAGACAATTTCTTAAATAAGTGGTTCTGGGAAAACTGGACGGGTACTGTAAAAGAATGAAAACTGTAAAAGAATGAAGTTAGAACATTTTTCTCACATCATATACAAAAATAAACTCAAAGTGGATTAAAACCTAAATGTAAGACCTGAAGCCATATAAAACTCCTAGAAGAAAATATGGGCAGAACAATCTTAGACATAAATTGTAGCCATATATTTTCAGTAAGGCAAAGTAAACAAAAGTAGAAACAAACAACTGGGACCTAATTAAACTTAAAGTTTTTGCATAGCAAAGGAAGCTATCAACAAAATGAAAAGACATCCTCCTAAATGAGAGAAATACTTGCAAATGATATGACTGATAAGGGGTTAATATCCAAAATATATAAACAGCTTATACAATTCAATATCCAGAAAACAAAAACCTAATTAAAAAATGAGCAGAAAACCTGAATAGACATTTTTCTAAAGAAGATATATAGATGATTAACAGGCACATGTAAAGATACTCAGTATCACTCATCATCATATAAATGCAAATCAAAACATCAATGAGATATCACCGCACACCTGTCAGAATGGCTATCATCAAAAATTCTGCAAATAACAAATGTTGTCAAGGCTGTGGAGAAAAGAGAACAGTAGTACACTGTTGGTGGGACTATAAATTGGTGCATCCACTACAGAATACAATAGTATGGAGATACCTCAGAAAACTAAAAATAGGACTGTTTTATGATCCAGCAATTCCACTCCTGGGTACATTCTGAAGAAAACAAATGCACTAATTCAAAAAGATGCATGCACCTCAATGTTCATAGCAGCATTATTTATGATAGTCAAGATATGGAAGCATCCTAAGTGTCCATCCACAGATGAATGAATAAAGACATGGTATTTACCTATTAATGTTAATGTATTCTTTAACTTCATTCATTTTTTATGGCTGAATAGTATTCCATTGTGTATGTATATATGTATGTGTATATAGGTAGCTTCATCTGTGGATGAATTTACCTATATACACATACCAGAACTTCTATTTAATTTTAGAGACCATTTCTAAAATATAATTTTCTTCAACTTATTCTCTATAATACGTAAGATTTAACCAAATTAAAGGGCTATCTCTATTCCAAAAATATCTCATATTGCAAAGCTTTTGAAGAAGCAAGTAACAGAATTTTGGATAGTCTAAATTTGAGAATAATATCTTGGACTTAACTGAGGTTATTTGTGATTGGTTTCACTATATTTCAACCAGCAAGTAATGCAAGTGGTATTCTGGCGATCCAGGATACATTACTGCACAAGTGGATGGCTCCCCATTGCTCTCTTTCCCCTCAAAGAGGGAAGCCCAACCATTTGAGACCTTTTTAACCTGTAGTAAGGAAGGAATGCACCAAGTCAATGCAAATAGTGGGCTCATTTCCATTTATGTAGTTTTAAGATGAGGGCAAAAGGAAGAGAATAAGCACCTCAGCCCAGATCATGCAGACCTGATATCCAGGTTAGGAATTCATAATTTCTTGTTAAACTAATTTATATAGCATACTTTTATTTCAAAAATCAGAATCACAGTTTCAGCGTATCAGGTTCAACCATGACTTACCACAATGTACCCCTAGCTAGAAGTCATAAATAGGGATCATCTCTTAATCTCAACACATTTCTAACATGTTCCAGTGATATATATTGGCATTACCTCTTCAAAATGATAGCATCACACTTGTATTATGTATTCTAGAGTATTAAAATGCCAAAAATAAAACAACAGATAATATTATTAATGTAAATGTAAGTTCCCCTACTGCCAAAATCAACAACAGAAACTCAACAAATCATCCAGAAATATTCTGTTTGGTATAAATCTCCCCAGATGAACCTATCAGTTGGTTTCAGCCAGTGTTTAGTTGCAAATGGCTCCTGAAAAAAGTGTTATTGATCTTTCAATTCTTAAGTCTACTGGAGAACATAAATGCATTTCACTGTTTACTCCTCAGTTTAAGTTATTTGTATTTGGACTGTCCCCTGCAGGCAATTTTTAAAGCATACACAGTTCACTAAACTCACTGTGAAGAACAAACTGTTAAGCATTTCAAGCCACCTATGGGGACTATCACCACAAATCTCAGGTTGAAAATTCTAGCTGATCAACAACACTACCACCCAGAATAGCAGCATTTAGCCAGGGTAACCACACAATTAATTCTTCTGTTTCAGCCAGGCAATATCATATTCTCTAGAGAAATAGAATTTGCCAAAGTATTTTACCCACTTTTCAGCAATTTTTACTCCTTCTATCTCTCTTACACATTTTGTGTTTCTGGTTCCTTTGAAATCCCTTTTCCTGTTATTCCACATCTCTCAACTCCTGATGTCTTACTATTGTTGTGATGACAGCTCACAGTTGTTTAAAGCTATCTTCTGCAACAGAATATAGAAAATTAATTTGAAATCCCTATTAATTCTGAGAAAATCCCCATTTGATATAGGAGATAAATGAAGCAGGAGCTGAAGTGACTGACTCAAGTTGGTGCCATAAGAAGCACAAGCTACCCTGGTCCCAAAAGATCTTTGATGAGGAGGAGACAACCAAGGCACAGGGTCTCAGGGAACCAGATCCCAATATTGCCTCACTACCTATTTAATCTCCCTGAGGTTTTTTTCTCTTAAGAAAAATGGTACTAATTCTTGCCTGCCCACTTCATACAAATATATTTAAATATAATAAGTGTAAATAGAAAAAAAATTTGGAGACCTTACTATTTGTAGGCATAACACACAAGAAAGTTAAAATGATTTTCAAAGTGTTTTTCTATGTTCAGGATAAAATCTCAGAGCATTTGCAAGCAGAAACATACTAAAGAACAAGGAGAGTCCATTGTCTCCTTCACATGTATCCACTTTGTGACACAATTAATTGGAAATATACATATTTTTAATGCAAAAAAGCAACTATCCTTTCAAAAAAATTTGCTTAAAAAAAAAAAAAGCACAATTTTCTTGCTGTTGAAACCAATTACCTGTAACAATTTGTCCTCTGGCTGGACAGAGCCTTGCAGAGGAAGCAGACCAACTTCTTTCTTTTTTAGGAGCATAGATATAAGAAATGATTTGGAATGTATAAATGGTACAAAGGTCTTATAATGTGTCCCATCTGAGCACCTATGGGTCTGTTCAGAAATACTTTATTTCTTTGTCTAATATTGTTTCCCTTCCTAGTCACAGACACAAAAGGAAGCCTATCTTGAACCTTCATCTCATATTTTTGAGAAAAATGAAAACTTCATTCATGAGCCTAGATGTTTGCATCTATACCAAATCTGAAACACTGTATGAAATAGAAAATGTAGGTAAGGAAACACAAAGATAACCACATGTCTTCCTCATTTATTATCATGTTATTAGCTATTTAATAATAATCAAACTTTTTTCTAAGTCTCCTTTCAATAATTTATTTGGAAAAACACTGCCTATACCAAGCCCTAAGTATGTCCTTAGCCCTAAATATTATCACAACTTCTAACTTAAGAGAAACATAACTATGACTACCAAAAAAAAAAAGCAAATACAATGTTGACACTCTAAATATCCCTAAGATTATACAGATATTATGTAAAGAAGTTTTTCTTAATATCAGTGTAATTAATTAAAGCCTTAAAGTCACTTGGTGCACTAAAATGTCATATAACAATAACTACTGCCCCAGGGCTTCCCTGGTGGCTCAGTGGTTGAGAGTCCGCCTGCCGATGCAGGGGACAAAGGTTCATGTCCGGTCCGGGAAGATCCTACATGCTGCGGAGCGGTTAAGCCCGTGACACATGGTCGCTGAGCCTGAGCATCCGGTGCCTGTGCTCTGCAACGGGAGAGGCCACAACAGTGAGAGGCCAGCATACCACAAAAAAAAAAAAAAAAAAAAACTACTGCCCCAAATGAAAACAAAATAATACAAAGCTAAATAGATGTCTTTATTAACAGAAATAAATTAGTTTATAGAAATAAGTATGGGTAATCTTTCCAAATGAAATGAAGATCTAATAGAATATTGCCGAAAACAGTACTTGTTACAATGAAGCTTAAGGGTAAGGAAACTCATCAGCAACATGAGGGAAAGATCTGGCATACCAAGGCAGACTACAAAGCCTGTTAGTCTGATGCCTACCAGAAGCATGGTAAGAGTGAATCCTCCCTGATATGTTTTTTTGAACCCTACGTTTCCTAATCATTGGAGGCTGTTTGATACAGGTTGGAGAATAGTTGATATGATCTAACTTAATGGAGAGCAGGCCAAGAGAAAGAAGAAGAATGTCTATATTAGCTGTAGGAAAATAAAATCAACAGACTCCCAGTGATTTCAGATTATTCAAAGAGGCTTTGAGCCGAAGGTCTATAGACAGAAGAAATCCCAGGTCTCATTCAAGACTTAGAAAACATTCACTTAAGTTGATGATGGTTGTCCATCTGTCTAATAAACATTCTGATTTTGAAAAATGGCAAATTGGAAAAGAAAAAGAATCAATTTCTAACCTCAGTAAAAGCAAAGTAAGCTCAACAACAGCAAAAAACTAAGTTATTGACTGTAAAATGTACTTCTTAAAATATAAAGTCCTGTATATTTGAAGTTTTAGTGTTGAAGTGAATAATAAAATACACCTTACAAGTGGAAAACTATTTTGTAACTTATTTTTAAGAGAAATGTGGTTGGGCTAAGTGTGTTATTAACCACAGCTTTTTAAAAAAACAGCTCACACTTTTTCTCTTAGCTTTCAAGACATTCTTTT